TGGCTATTTAGAGGACCGAGGCAGCAGAGGTAGCTGGAGCCCCGGTACTTTAAATAGCCCCCGGAGCCCCCTGCTATCCCAGGGCTCTGGTCCAACCACTAGACCCCCCCCCCCATAAGTGCCATAGCTCCCCCTTCTCCTCCACTGGGTACATAAAACTACAAGTCCCAGAAACCCTTGCTTCCCCCATCCCACCTCCTGAAGGGGTAGCCAATGGGCCGGAGCCGTTTGCTGATTGGCAGGTGCACGGGCCAGTGGGGGCGAGCCCGTGCCCGGCGCGCGCTGGCAGCTGGCGATGGCCCAATGTACAGGACCAACCACTCGGCCTTCTTCACTTTAAAGCGCTGCCCGTAGGCCGACAGGAACTGGTCCATCTGCTTGTCCAGCTCCTGCTTCAGCTCCTCCAGGGCCGCCTGTTTCTGGGGGTCCTCGCCCCGCAGCTCCCCCCGGCAGCGTTTCAGCAGCTCCTGGCGTTTCCCCTCCTGGCGTCGCTGCATCTCCAGGGGCTTCACTCTCAGACAGCTGCTCATGCTCTGGTGGCCACGGTCCTGCCGGGAGTGGGGCGAGATCGTCCATGAGGGACGGGAACTAGCATTACCCAGCCACAGGGGGAACTTCTGCCTCACACACCTGTAGCCCCCTCAACTCCAACCTACAGCCCCCTGCTAGCCCAGCCCTGCCCCCCGTCAGTCCTGTTGGTGCCCCTCACTCCCGACCCGCAGCCCCTCTGCACTCACCAGCTGCTTCACAAATAGTCCATATTTCCTCCTGGCAGCTTCTACTGCTCCTCTGTTTGCCTTCTCTCTCATCTCTGCCATCTGTGGTGGGAGAGGGAAAAGGGTAGGGGTGGGGATGGGATCCCCTCTGAACTGGGAGCCCCCCTTCCCCCACTCACCACCTTCTCCTAATTCCTCCAGGACCCTGCTTGCTGCTGTCACCCCCCCACTGGTGCCCCACTGGTGCCCCCTTTGTGGTGCCCCCTCCTGGCCCCCTAGTGCAATTGGCCAATGGTGGGTGGACCTGGGGTGAGAATGAACTGAAAACTGTCGGACTGGGATTTGGGCTTTCAGACCTCTCTAACCCCTTTGTATTGTTTTCAAATCAGTGGGGAAATGAGGGGAATCACCCAAAATTGTCCCCTCTAGACATACGGACTATATCAGGGGAGGAGAAAATCTTTAAAACAAACACAAAATATGAAAATAATTTTTTCTCCTACTTGTTGAAAATGAAAACAAATTAAATTTGTCACTGAGCGATGCAGGGGGTAGCTCGGGGCGCAGGGGCCAGGACCGGGTTATTTATTGACTGATGTCGATAGGGGCAGGGCTGGATTCTGATCTCGGTGACCCCGCTGTAAATCAATCAACCTATGTGTCCTTTTGGACACTCACCTTCTCCCCATTCTTCCCAATACACCACCTCTATCTAATCTTATCTATCTATCTATCCCCACACACCCCCTCTATCTATCGATCTATCTATCTATCCCCACACACCCCCTCTATCTATCTATCCCCACACACCTCATCATCTATCTATCTATCCATCCATCTATCCCCCTACACCCCCTCATATCTACCTATCTATCTATCCCCACACAACCTTCTTATCTATTGTGGAAGCAGAGAAAGAACTGACAGGAAGGGGACTGCAATGCATGACAGTTTGTTAGCAAGAGTTAGGCTAACTGTAACTTTAATAACGCGAGATTTGTAGACGCGAGGATTGTGTGAGGCGAGTGGGAAAGAACTGTGTGAGAAGTTGTTGCGACCTTGTGTAGATAATGTGTAGAAAATATTGTATGTAGACTAGAGTTAAAACAAGTGAGAAAAATAAGATATTAAAATGGCCTATGTATAAACAAAATGCAGCTGTTGCTTATTATTGTTTGTAATGAAAGATATTAAGGTTTGCTGTAATTGTTTACCTGTAGAGAGACCTGTTTAGCTCTTTCCCTCTATGCAATTGTTAGAGAAAATAAAGTATCTGACTTGCTGTACCCAAACAAAAAGTGAGAACTCTGTTATTCTCCGACAATTTGGGGGCTCGTCCGGGATGGCAACGCCCGCAGAGGTACCGGCAGCTGCTACGGATCGTTCCCCTTCGAACCCCATGGCGCCACAATAGAGGTAAGAGACCTTTTAAAATCTCTATTGGGGTGTCAAGGAAGGACTGTCTGTGGAGCCGTCTGTCCCTGTTGGGCTCACGCCATCCGAACTTATTGACTGTGCAGCAAGATCTGATGCAGAGCGGTTCTGGGGAATTGTTTTGCCACCCCCAATAAGGTAGTTGTATGTGGTTCTGGGGACCTGTTAGTTTGGCCGCCCCCATATGCATATAAAAAATGCATAGGTATGCACCGGTGCTGAGGGGTTTTTACCGCCTCAAGAGGGGTTGTTATCGCCTCATAGTGTATTGAGTCTGGACATAAGGTACAGATGCATTGTGGTATTTGGAAATAGAGGCCTTGGTGTGTGTGTGTGTGTGTGTGTGTGTGTGTGTGTACACACAC